TACGAGAGTTAGTATGGTTGAACCGCTAAATGAGTTGGTTAGTTGAACTACTTAACCGAGTTATTGATTGCCGTTGAATGAGTGTAAAACTGGAAGCGATTTATTCCCGATTCCCTAGCTTCTTTATTATTGTCTCGTTTATATTTTTAGCCAAATTATTATTTTATGTTATTTCTTAGTTGATATTTTAGTTAATTATTATCCAATTCATCTTGATTAGAATGTTTAGGCTTTATTTTCATTTTATATGTTATCAACACCAATTCTAGATTCCGAACAGTCTTCCTCGAGAGATCGACCCGGGAAACGAATCATTTGATTCGGTGCTCGGTAAAATAAAAATAATTTGTACACAACAGGGGCTTTAGCTGCTTTTATTGAAAAATGTATATATTATCCGATTGAGAATTTAGCTGCAGTTGTTGGGCCTAAAATCACTAGAAATCACGTTGAACTTGGAGTTTAAGTTTCGGCTGAAACCGAGATAGATAGCTGGTGAGTAGAGAACCCTAGTTCGGAATTTTTCCGGTCAGTCTGGATGAACTCTAGATCCGAGTAGAAAAGTTGTGCGTCGGCTGATGCCGTGTCCGTGCGTATGTACCCAGACTACGGTTAAACCGAGTTGCACCCAATCAGACGAGAAACCGGCTGGCTCAGACCGAGTCGCCGGTCCACTTCAGTCGAATCGGTCCGGATAGTCTGAACGATTCGAGAATAGCAGTTCGGAATATCGGTTTGAGCATGAACCGAGATTCAACATTTTTTCGAACCCAGTCAGATAAGTCAGATCAGAATAAACTAGTTCAGATAAAAATCAGATCAGTCAGATAAGTTAGATTAGATAAATCAGTTAAGCAGACTAGACTTAGAAATATTTCAGAGAACCCTAGAAAACTTCAAAGTTAGTAAATTTTCCAAAATAGCTCAAATCCTCTACATCCAGATTAAAAAATTCTATAATCGAGTGACAGAACCTAGTAAGATCAGATAATAATGAGAATCAAGTTTTCATTTTGAGTTTAGTACTTAGTACATTTTGCTCAAATATTTATGTAGTTTAAGGAGAGTCGAGCCTCCGACAGCTACTAGTCATCCAACACTTGCCTAGCAGTAGCAGATTACCAGGTGGGGGTCACGTACTGGTTATACATCGTCTTTAATTTCCGTACCATGTCCGAGGTATGTGTGGGAATAGTTTTATCCCCCAGGCTGGAGGCTGAGCGGGCCTTAATGTTCCGCCTGTGGTCCCGATCTAGAGGCTGAGCGAGCCTTAATGTTTCAATCGGGGTGTGTACATGAATTAGCAGCTTTTAGCCGAGATCAGATTAGCTTCAGTTCAGTTCAGTACCTATATACTTAAAGTCATGATATTGTTATTAACGATGTTGTTTAATTCAGTACTGGTCTTTGCGGAGCATAGTGGTTTGCTCACGCCCCCATTACATTTTTCAGGTGACGGAGAGGCGCGTGGTGCGTGAGCATCAGTGGCGCATGGTCATTAGCAGTCTCTTTGTAACGCATTTACATGTCATTCATTTGAACATGTATTATTATTACAATGCGTAGACATATTATGTTTCAGCTTCTGCACATTTCAGACTTAGTATGTATTATGAGATATTCAGACTTATGCATGTTTAATGCCTTTATCTCCGTGGTACCTTTATATAACGGATTTGATTAGGTTGCATGTATTTATTTACGTCTGCATGAGAAAGAGTATAAGTTAGTAGCATCCCGCGAGTTAGTATGAGTATTTTCGAAATTAAAGTTAAAGAGTTTTTCGAAAATAAAAAGCAAAAATTTTACTCTGATTTTATTATTTCTAGATTAAGTAGGAGGGGTGTTATAGCTAACCCTTTAGCGCTGCTAAGGTGAAAATGCGGAGCTTCTGGAGTCGCTTAGCTGGGGTAGCGCCGCTAGCTGAAAAGGGGTTAGCGGCGCTAAGGCCTGGGCCACTCTCAAATTTTGACGTTTTGGATTCGCGTGCTCTCGGCTAGCGTCTCTCGGGTTCTGCCCGAGCTGGGAACTCGATCCCCGCATGTTTGGTCGCACGAATCAATATGGAACTCCTGGGGACCAGAACTAAATGCTTCTTTTCTCGTTCACAACCTGAAACCACCACAACCGGACAACCACAAAAACAAGAGAAAATAGGTAGAAAAACAAAGAAAATACCAAACACACCAAAATAATAATAAATAAACGAGAAACAACTAGTAGGACGAGAAATCCCTAAGACACAACCTAAAACGGGAAAAAACGACACAAAAAATACCAACAAAAATGGGACAAACCACAAAGAAGACGTATTTGATGATGGAGAAAAAGTGGTTGTGTACGAGGCAACAAGCGCAATGCAACATGACTCGCCTAAGAAAGAACGAGATCCTGAGGGCTTTGTGATTAGAACAACCCTAAAAAATAAAAAAGAGGCTTCTTCAGGGATGCTCGACCTTAGAGCTTGAATCAATCTTATGTCGTTCTCTATATATCAACATATCGATCTTAAAGAATTGATACCAACCCGTAATGCATCCAGCTCGCTGACCACTCAATCCAATACCCCAAGGGAGTTGTATAAGATGCTCTTTTTAAAGTGGCCAAGCTCATCATCCCGGTGGATTTTGTCATGTTAGACGTGGGGGACGTGCAAGAGAACGGGAAGGATCACACTGTCCTTTTTACAATCGTTTATGGCAACCACCAACACGTCTATCGATGTCAAGAACGAGACATTGAATATGACGGTAGGGTGAGTCTATATCTATCTATGTTCGGGAAGCCACTTCCGTATCTTCGGTGAACTTTGTAGAGAAGTGTGCTTTTGTTGATGTCGTTGGTCCATTTATCAAAGAGATGACCATACGAGATTTGGAGAAGAGGTTAATGCTCGATTTCGATGATGAAGAAGGGCTGACCATTGACCTTTGTGAATTCTAAGAGCCCCGTTATCAAAGAGATGACCATACGGGATTTGGAGGAGAGGTTAATGCCCGATTTCGATGATGATGAAGGGCCGACCATTGAGCTTTGTGAATTCTAAGAGCCCGGTTATCAAAGAGATGACCATACGGGATTTGGAGGAGAGGTTAATGCCCGATTTCGATGATGATGAAGGGCCGACCATTGAGCTCTGTAAAGTTTAAGAGCCCCGTTCACTAGTTGCACCGACGCTAGAACTTAAAGAGCTACCTTGGCATCTCAAGTAATTATTCCTCGACAGCAAAGAACAAATACTGATTATCATTTTTGTCAAGCTCTCTCGAGAAGAGGAAAAGGAGTTGATGAATGTGCTTAAGAAGAACAAGAATGCCATCGGGTGGAGTATAAGAGATATCAAAGGCATCAATCCATCCACATGCATGCACTGGATAATTCTCGAGGAGGGTGCCAAACCATTTCGGGATAGCCAACGACGGCTCAGCCCGACCATGATGGAGGTGGTCAAGAAAGAAGTATTGAAACTCTACCCGAAGGGGGTTGTTTTTTTCGGTGGATGATAATGAGTGGATCAGTCCTATACACGTGGTGCCGAAGAAAGGGAGCATCACTGTCATCGAGAACGACAAAAATGAGTTGTCGGAAGGCATTTATTAAACCAACAAAACAGTCCCCACCCGCATAACTACTAAGTGGCGTATGTGCATTGACTACTGGCGACTTAACACCGTGACGAAAAAAGGACCACTTTCCGTTGTTGTTCATTGATCAGATCCTCGATGGTCTCTCTGGCCATCAATTATATTGCTTCCTCGACACTCTTCGGCTACTACCAAGTGGCCATAGAGCCCGAGGACCAACCCAAAACGGCATTCGCGTTCCGATTTGCCTTTGGCAGCTGCTTAGGCTTTGTCTTAGTAAACTTATGTATCAATTAAAAAAGTTGTCTATAAATCAATTTTATATTAATTAAAAAATTATTATAATATAAAATGGACAAACAATACAATGAAAAAGTATCATTTTAAATATAAGTAATAATGAATATTCTTAAAAATTATTTTTAAATTCAAATAAGAAAACTTCTATATCTATATTATATTTATTAGAAAAATAGTATTTTTTTATAATTATTACTCATTTTATAACCAAAAAATAGGAAAATTATTTGAACCCCAAAGCTATTAACCCTAACTCGCGGAGAACTGTCACGTAGACCCCGTGTTTCGCACCCACTTCATATTGGCCGTCGATCAATGATCTCTTGTGCCAAAACGGCTCATCTTACGACCAAGATGTTCGAGGAGAGTTCTATTAACCGTGCCCTCTAACTCGCCCCCCTCTCTCTCCACTCTTTTCGGTGGTTAGCCGACGGCCGGTCGTTTCCCTCTCTCCAAGTAACTTGGAAATTGATTAGTCTACTGCGGTTCTATTTTTTCATTAACCCTTCGAGGAAAAACGAAAAAAAGAGACATCCACGAGGAAATTAGCCTAGGGAAACAAGGTTAACAGTGCCATGTTTGTTGCTCATACAGCAAGTAGCCGCTCTGAATTGAAGCTGGGATGATCGTTGTTAGGTTTGTCTGGCTTTTGTTTGAGTTTTCCGTTCCTATTTTGATTCAGTTTTCTTTTGTTGCGCTGTGTTAGGGCGCGGTATCTTATTTTATATGACCCTGTTCTCGGATTGTGGATGTGAGTATTCTGCGTTGCCGCACCTTGCTCTGAATCATTTATGGGTTTTATTCGTTAAATAAAAAAATTCTAACTTCTTTATGCTTCAGATTGAGGGTCTTGTTTGCGGATTTTGTGCTTTGGAGTGCATTTTTTTTCCCATCTTTTCTTCTCTATGATAGTGTGTATTTATAGATTGTAGAAGCATTTCCTCTGAGTGGCTTATTTTGTACAATTTGTTGGATTAGTTTTGAATTAATAGGGAAAATTGTGTATAATCTTAATGGAACAACTTGAAAATTGTGTGACTGTTTGTTGATATATGATTTTCAGATTGATTCCATCTTTGGTTCAAGCTTGAAGATTTTATTTAAAGGAAGGTGAGGATGACAGAAGAACTGAAGCACTCTGCAAATCCATGGATGAATGCGGCCGAGCAGTCCTCAAGAGTTGTTAATTTCAATGAAGGCATGTCTTTGATGTCCCAACCGATGGTGATCGTTGATGGAATTGAAGACCCTGACATCTCACGCTCTCAAACTCCCGATCTGGGTGCTCCTTTGGGTGGCAAATTAGGGTTCTCTGAGCGTGCATTTTCTGCAGCTGGTGCAGCATTTCTGTCTGCCATTTTGGTCAACCCGCTTGATGTGGCTAAGGTACATGAACATCTTTTTTTGTATTGACTGTTCTATTAGTTATATAGTGTGTGGGCGTGTGTGTGTTTATCCATGTCAGATGCCCGGCCAATTCGTCTGCATGTAGTATGAACTCATGAAAGTGGTTTATAATTGTTCATCAATAACTTGCTGAACTAACTACTTGTTGATGTTTTTTTTTTTCTCAAATTTATTGACCTTATAGCCAACCATTGGTGCCTTTCTGTTAATGTGTGTTGGTTTCTTTGACCTCTTTTTCTTCTTGTTTTATTTTCCTGATTCCTGCTCAAAGATGTTGTATGTGTTTTAATATGTATTCCTCCTTTTGTTGTCCTAATCTTCTATCCGGATGATTTGTCCATTTGATTGTCTTCCAGACAAGATTGCAGGCGCAAGCTGCTGGAACCCCTTACTCGCATCCATTAAGTAATTTTACCAGTCGCATGGCATTTTTTGGACCTCAGATGGTACTTCTTTGTTCTTCTGTTACTTTTTTCTTTCTTTGTTTCTTTATCTAATTTGCCTCTCATGCAAAGTGGAGTGCATATGACACCTCATTTTGGTCATAACTCATGACTTTTTTGTTTGTGATTTATTTGTACCATTAGTATAGGTTTATGGCTACTGTGAACTGGTTGTGAATGTTTCATTTTTTTATTGAGGTAAAAAAGTATTTTTTACTTGGCGCAATTTGATGCTAGTTGTTTGCGGATCTGAGGTGTTCTCCCTCGTGCACACGAGCTGGGGTTCATGGGACAGTATCAATTTGCCCACCTGATTGTTTCCACTACAAGGGGACGCTGGATGTTTTCTATAAAATTGTTCGACAGGTTAGTTGGTGATGGTTGATAGTTATTAGGACTGAAGTATTTTATTCTTTCCATTGGAACAAATGTCTCAGGCAATTTTTCCTTCATGTTGTCATCCACTTTAGACTCGCTAGAAATGTGTAGCAATATAAACATGTTGGTCTTTTGAATTTTTCTATCAATCGTATACCTTGAGGCTGTCGCTACTTTTAGTATGTTGCTTTTAACTTTATTTTTATTAATTTCGCAGGAAGGGTTGTCTGCACTCTGGAGAGGAACAAATGCTAGCTTAGCTCTTGCGGTGCCCACCGTAAGTCTCAGTGGTTGCTACCGAAATTTTCATGCTTCTGTTACTATCGGTGATGGTTTTAGGATTTGATGCATCTGTTTTTCAGATTTTATAAGGTTATAACTGGTTTTGCGAACAGGTTGGTATTTATTTGCCTTGCTATGACATTTTCTGCCACCAATTAGAGGATTTTTCTGCAAGGAATGCTCCAGGATTAACACCTTATGCGCCTTTAGTTGCTGGTTCACTGGCACGTTCTTTAGCTTGTATAAGTTGCTACCCTATAGAGCTTGCAAGAACGCGCATGCAGGTATTTTATGCATATTAACTGTCTTTTCATTTTGTTCGTTGAGTCTTGTTGTCCATAATTTCTTTGAACTCTGTCGTCGTGATATTCTTACGTTCAGGCATTTAAGCATGGCTGTGGCAATAAAAGCCCCCCAGGAGTCTTGCGTACTTTAATTGATATTATTTCCCAGGTCAAGAGCACGACCAGCTCCAGTAACAGCTGTAAGTTGGGTGATTGGTCTGTTTAATTGTTCTCTTGTAAGGACATTCAAAGAGATGTCGGAGCACATAATTCTTGTTTTTCTGGCATTCTAATTGTTGTTACTGCATTCTGTCATTTCTAGTCACTTTTGGAGGAGATACCATCCATCTCTTTTCCATGGAACCTTTTGATCCTGCACAATACTGCAGTTCAGTTTTGTGCGTCTTCACCTCACATCCACATGCACTGACACACACACACACACACACACACAGTGGAAAGTGTGGAATGTGTGGCGAAAAGCACACAACTGACTGCGTGTCCATTTAGGATCAAATATTCAGTATTTGCATAATAGAAACTACACATTTCTCACAGACACTACAAAAATTATTTACCCGCCGCCCACAACTCACACGTTTGATACACATAAATACATGTTTTTAACTCACACCAGACACTGATATTTCTATTGTTTATGCTTGACCATGTCAATATATGTTGCAGCCACAAGCTTCCGTATTTTGTGGACAGGCCTTGGGGCCCAGCTTGCTCGTGATGTTCCTTTCTCTGCAATCTGCTGGGCGACCCTCGAACCGGTAAGAAATATTTCTTTTTATGCATTTCACATCTGATAGTTGTCCTTGTGTATTGAGTAATGAGTTACGCTGTCCAAATTTCGTTGTAGGTAAGGAGGAGGCTTCTAGGCCTGGTTGGAGATGAAGCTAATGCTGTCAGTGTCTTTTCGGCAAATTTTTCTGCTGGTTTTGTTGCTGGGAGCCTTGCTGCTGCCACCACATGCCCATTTGATGTTGTCAAAACACGGAGGCAAATTGAGGTAATTCCTACCTAGTATGAACTTTATTATGATTGGGAATTGTCATAATAATTGTTCTACATGGTTCATGATATTGTCCGTAAATGACAACTGTCAGACTGAAAGAAGCATGATGTTTATGTGAAGTTACAGTATTGCACTTAGAATTATCTAATTCGAATAGGTTCTCTCTTTTTGCGAGGACATCAGTGGGCTGTTATATTTTGAGTTTCAAATCAAAGACAGTATAACATTCTGCTAAGTTTATTTAATTCCCTACAAAATCTTTAGATCAGACATATATAAGCTTTTTGGCTGCTGTTACAGATGGGGACATAATATTTTTTTTTTTTTTTATATGAAACTTTGTTCTTCTGAGCATGCAATGGCCAATGTTATGTCTTTATCATACGTTCATTCCACGTTTTCCAAATTAAATAGCTGGTGCCTGTTTATAATATGAATTTTAATTGTTTGACCGTATAAATCATAGGTATCTGAGATGAGTTCACTTTGTAGGAGTGAAATTACTCATTTATTATTATAGTTGGCTTGTTATAATTTTACTATTATGAATTCTACAGAAAGATCCTGCCAGAGCGTTGAAGATGACCACGAGGCACACTCTCCTAGAAGTTTGGAGGTTCGTCTGTATTTGAAACTATGAATTGGTGCATAAATATAGTATGGTTGTATAATCCAGTGGATTGACATTTTGCGACTGTATGATTCCAGTTATTCTTATTACATAAATAATTTATTTACAGCTACAAAGGACTATTAAATTTAGGTTTTATTATTTTGATTGTGTTTGTTTTGACATGAAAATTCTCATGTCTGTTATGACATGTTCATCTTTTGTTGTTCAATATTTCGCACCAATACAAACACCCCATTTCTGGTTTAACCGTTTATGATCCGAAGTTGCATAGACATTGACATTTGTTTTGTTCTTCAAAGGGGCCGTGATCTTAAAAAATAACCTTGTTCTTCCCCTTCTTCCTTTTGGATAATTAGTCTAGCTTGAGTGGTAGCTTATTTTATCGTATTTCAGTTTTCACAATTCTTACTTGACCGACAGAGGAGTCTGATATGTATTGATAATTTTTTACAGGAGTGGAGGTATTAAAGGCTTGTTTACTGGTGTTGGGCCCCGTGTTGGTCGAGCAGGCCCTTCTGTTGGGATAGTCGTTTCCTTTTATGAAGTCGTGAAGTATGCCCTGAATCATCACTATGCCATCACTTGATCCATAACAAAATATGTCTTACTGTTTTTTCGTCCATGGAAAGCCACGGATGCTAAGAGCTAACTTCAGCTTCGAGATTTTGTCCCTAAGCGCGCTTGATGTTGATCACTAGTTCTAGTTTTCACAATATTCATGGTATATTCCATCTCCCAAGTTAATTTTTCTTACATGCCGGGAAATAATTCTCTTCATATGTGATTTTCATTCGAGACTGATGATTGATGGATTAGTCATCACTTGAGTCCATAAACGATAATTGAGGGGGATTTTGTGGATACTAACTTAATTTTGGCCTTTAATGTACTTACTATTTAAAGATTTTTTCCTGCTATACATAGTCTCGAAGTTTTCCGTTCTCTTGTTGCTCTTTATCATCGTCATGCTTTTATTTTACTAGCTTTGAAGATCCGTTGGCAAAGGCTGGTGAGCTCAGTTTTTGGTTTCCCATTTTGGAATAAATTGTTCTATCTAGAGGTGTAAACAAACACAAGGTTCGTGAATAAGACTTTCGCTTGAGTGTTTTTTTTTCGAAACGATAGATGTACTATATTAATAAAACCGCACAACGTGCAAAGAGAAGCACCCAAAGGCTGAATAGTACAACCGAAGACTGATAAAATTGGGAGACAGATTCAAAGATTGCCTAAATTCTAACCTAACGTTAGAATAACAAAAAAACACAACTACTTTTGCTCGAGTGTTGGTGATTTTTTTTAATTTTTTAATTTTTTTATTTTTTTTGGAACGATAGAGTGTTGGTGAATCTTGTTTGTTTATAAATTTGAGCCAAAAGCCTGAACAAAAAATTATGCCTGTATGTTAAACGAACACGGGCCTATTTTTATGCGTTCAAATATTTGCGCATTAATTTAATATGTACATGATTTCTTTGGGAAATTTATATGTATAGATTCTATATAATAAATATTATCATATATACGATTTTAAAAAAGTTCAATTAAAATAGGACTTGATTTTGGTTTTCTTTTCACAACTACGAGATTTATTCTCCCACCTCTTGATTTCCTTCTATCTCCAGCCAATAAAGACGGAATTAATTGACCAAAGAATTTGTCTCTCTCCAAGATTTCTATATCCAATTAGAATTTGTTTCTCTATCCACTTATCATACATTTAATTTAATTATGGATAAATCAGTTTCTCTCTCCAATTAAAAGTCATGCATTTAATTCCATTATGATGACTAGAGAACAACAAGCAGAAAATCCGAAAAAAAAAAATAACAAATTTGAAGCCTAGAATTAAGGGATTGGAATGCAAAAAATAAAATAAAAAAAAAATTAAAAAAAAAAATTGTTCTTCTTAATCTGTATATATGTTCAATATAATATATATATATATATATATATGGTCACGCTCCGGTGAGAATGGTTCCCCAGGAATGAAATAAGAATAAATTATAACCATTAGATCAGATGATCTAATGGATACAAAAAAGCTAAAATTACAACTTCATTAAGGATAATGTGGTATTTTTTATATACCACCAGTGGAACCCACAAACATATCAACTACCTACACCCACGTGGGTCAAAAGTCAAACACACCTGACTCCTCATCTCTCCAATCTCTCTCTCTCTCTCTTTTTTTTTTTCTCTCTCTCTCTCTCTCTCACTCTCTCTCTCTCACACACACACAAAGTCCGACACCCCCGCACACACACACACAGCACCGGAAAACGTCCGAACACCACCACGCAGCGCCGCCGCATCCGCCGAGCAAAACGTCGCTGCTGCTAGTCGCCGTCGTTGAACGCCACAAGTGCACGACCACACAACGCCGTTGGCTGCTCACCAACATCGCCGGAGCCTGAGCACGCAACCACACGCCGCCGTTCGCAGCTCCGCCCGACACACACATGAGCAGCCACAGCCGTTCGCCACTCTCTTGTCGCCATCGTCCACAAGCGCGCACACACCGCCGGTAATTGAAAACTCGCAGGTCGGGAAGCTCCTTCACTAGCCGCGATCGGCAATGTCCGCTCTCGCTGCCGCCATATATCCATAGCCAGCTGTCATCTTGGTCGTTGTCTCTGCAGGTCGGCCGACGGAATTGTTGGAATTGTTGGTGGCAGGGAAGTTGAGAAAGTGTAATTGAGATTTGGGGTTTATTTTTTGAAAATTAGGTATTATTTGGGGACTCATTTGCAACTTTAAAAAGTACTGTTTTGATTTCTATTTTAGTTTATGGTACAAATATGTAATTTACATAAAAGTTAATAAAATGCAAATTACTGATGAGTAACACACGTAGTATATTGTGTATATATTTTTATACATATATAATTTATGTATTATAAATCAAAAATATTATAAACTATTAAATAAAAATTGTAAAATATAATATATATTTTCATAATATAATTATAAACTAATTTTAACCAACCAAATAACTAAATTATTTCAGTCCACATAAAAAAATCTCACACGGCATAATACACAATATATTATATAAGATGCACACTAGTGTATATCAAATTGCACATCAATGATAGATCAAATGCACATAACCAATTTGATATTTAAAAAAAATGATGTTACCCCGGTGTGCATTTTTTTCACATATATCAAAAAATTATATTAGTTTGATTTATTTTTATTTTCTTACTTTACTTAAAAATATAAAAATAAAAAAAAAAATAGTGAAAACAATACGAGAAACCTGCCAAACTATATAAAATTATTATATTTTTTTATATTTTATCTATATACGTGTATTATTTATTTTCAACAGACAATAGTATAAAAAATATCAAGTTAAAAAAATATAATAATAGTTATACTTTTTTATTATATAAATGATATGAAAAATGCAAAATAATGTTGATTGAAATACATACTATTAAGGTTCTTATAAAATTGAGAATGCACGCTAATGTTAGGCAGATTGCATATTAGTGAGCGTCGAATTGCACATTATTGAACCGACATATAATGTTTCAAAACATAATATATTTTTATATGTTGTGAGTGCACAATATTGCCAGACAATTTACACATAAATGACTACCAACTTGCACAATAACGAAAACTTGACCAGAATGATTTTTCGATTGAAATTTTTAAATTTATGAACCAGTTGAACAAAACAAATTGATAATTATTTATTTTGTAAAAATACACCGAGATCTATATTGTGATTTAAAATACACAGTTTTGTGCATCTCACGTATTGTTAATGTGCAGTATTTGAATATTATGAAATTACAAAACCGCCCTACATATTAAAATGCAACACAATAAGACTCTAAAATTGCACTAAAGTCCCACTAAAGTGTCTAATTTCCAACAACAAGTCCCCACATACAAAACAGAAAAAAAAAAGAAAAAAAAAGAAAAAAAAGTCTGGTCACCGTGCGCACACATACACAATACACACACGTTGTTGTCGCCTGCCATCCGCATCTCGCGCCGCCGCCGAAAAATAGAGAACTCAAAGCACGTCGTCGTGTTCTTGTCGACCGCCAGTAGCCGAGCGTGTAGCCGCTGGATTCGTCTACACCGGCGAGCTCGTCCATCTGAGCGACATCACAAGGTAGACACGCTGAATGGCCAGGGCTTGGACGGACGACGACGGGGATGACTGAGGTCTAGGTTGACAGAGATTATACATTGCCCGATGGCTAAGCTTCGTCGGACGGTAGGATCTCTGAAAAAATGCACAAAAGTAGAGCGACGACCGGCGACTGGTAGTGGATGGCGCGGGGAGGCGGACGGCCGGACCTGTGTATAAAATGAAATAATACGGCGTCGGTCGGTGATGGGTGGTGGACGACTATTGGCGGTGACTGCACGACGAGACTACGGTGGTCGGTGGGGATGGCGTCCACCAAGGTGATGATGCGACTGAAACGGCGGAGCTACAGCAGCGCCGACGATATTTACTGCTTGACGGCGACGGCGTTCATACTGCTCGCCGACTGATATGGGGGGATGTGGTTGATATTGCGGCGGCGGTGGAATATATAGGAAGATGGTGGATGAATAGTGATATCACCTCTCAATTTCTGACATTACTCTTAATTACACCTTGGGAAAAACATATACGTAATAAATGTGTCTGACATAAGCAATTGTGCAAAAAATACGCCTATACCCTTACATCCTTCACAACAGACCGCCAATTTCCTCCTAATTACTAAACTGCCACCGCGTGTTGATTACTTAAGTGAACAGTGCGCGACCTGAATCTAACCATTGATTTCACATATCTAAAGGTCCACAATTATTCTTACTTCTTTCTCTAGGTACCATTCTCATATGATCCTCAATGAAAGAAATGATAATAAATAGTAGCCATTAGATCAAATGATCTAATGGCTAAAAAAAAATCAAAATTATACATTCATTAAGGATATTTTAGTCATTACAATTATATATCACCAACACATCACATGCCACATCACCTCTCCCACACACCTAACACACCCGTAACACACGCAGACACACACATGACACACGCACACACACATCAGCACCCACTAACACACTTTCCCATGATCTCTCTCTCTCTCCACACAATTCACACACACACACACACACATATTACACAGTACACACATAAACGCACACATACACAGACATGTTCCCCCATCATCCTTCACCATTGTCGGCCGTTGCCCGCCACCGACGGCCGTCGCCCTCAATCGCGGCGGCCACCCGAAACTGTTCTCATAGCTGTCAAACATCTTCTGCCGTCAATCAATTTGAGAGCTCCCCGCCGTCGACCTCCTCCTGCCACCAACGTATCTGAAGAAATTCCGACCAGTCGCAGTCATCATCCTCCACCACAAAGCTCTGATCGTTGCAGTCACTCCGGAAATATGTCGTGACCGTCGGGAAGCCGCCGTCAGATGCCGCAAAAGCTCGCACAGGTCGCCGTCGATTTCACCGGACCGACTGGAAGTTGGAGACGGGTCTCATGTCGCGGCGGGAGAAGCTTCAAACGAACGGGAACGTCGTTGCAGCCATGGACGTCAG